TCATCTTTAATTAAAGTTATAGAAATAGAGATATTAATTTCATTACTAGTTGTTAAATTTGATAAAAGTTATATAAATTATATTCTAAAAATCATAAAAATAGATATAAATCTTCTAATTTAAATAAGAGTATTTACTTTAAATCTCTTAGATATATCTGAAAAAGACTTAAATGGGGAAAAATTTCTAAGTTGAAATGAATACTCTAGTAATTTAAAAAAGATATTATTTTTTTAACTATATAGAATATATACTATAATTAAAAATCAATTATCAAAATTAAATATGAAAAGCAAAAATCACAATAAGTTGTATTTTTGAAAGAAAAATCTAAAATTATTAATAAATATTACTATTAGTAAACTATTAAAAAAAAAAAAATAAACTATATATATTTAAAAACTTATAAATATAAATAAGAAGATCATATTATTGATATATTCAAATAATTCAAAAAATAAATAAAAATAGTTAAATGTTGATATAACAATTAAATATTTTAAATTAAATTCAGAATATAAGATATTTTCATAAAATTTAGAAAAAAAATATGAAGTCTTTAACATTGAATTATTTTTAATTTAAAAGACTTTTATAATAGTTCATAAAATAATATCTCAGAAAGTAATTATTAATAATATTTGAATATTTTCAAATAGTCAAACTACATTGAAAAGACTTTAGAAATATGATATTTAAAATAATTAAATAAATTTTGAATTAATTTAAAAATTAATTAAAAGAATTAAAATTAGTAATAAAAATATTCAGATTTATTTATTTGTATATCTGCTTATATAAATATTTTAAAAAATAAAAAAGTAGATCTAGTAGTAAAAATTGAAACTAAAATTTAAAAAGAGACTTAAAATTTATATTTTGATTATATATTAAAAGAAAAATTAAAAAATTATATCTTGATAAATAAATAAAGATCTAGAAAAAAGAGATGAAAAGCACTCAGTATATAAGATATATAATAAAATTAAAGTGAAAATCTATATCAATAAAATGTAAAAAAAAATATTTTCCTCTATAATATAATTGAAACTTATATATAATTACTTTAAATCATATATAAAAAGTTTTAAAAATTCTTTGAACTCTGATAAATGTGATTTTTATGATATAGTTGAAATCTAGATCATACACTAATAAATTATATATTAAATAATGAGATAAAAAAGAAATTAAATGAAAAATATTCAATTAATTAATTAATTATAATTCTTTTAATTAATATTAAATTAAAAATAAAGTTTTTTTATTGAGTTTATAGAGAAAATAAAAATTATTTCTAGAGAATAAAATTCAATATTAAATGAATTTGATATTTAATTTATAAAAAGCTGAGAATATTTTCAATAATACTTTTATTAAAAATTTTTTATATTAGATTATTGTTTTAATTTATATTATTTTATTTTATTATTTGTTTTATTTAAGTTGAAAAAAAATTGAATTAAAATTAAACTATAAATATATCTTTTGTTAAAAGATTGTTAAATACTGTATTATTCTAATATAAAACTCTATAAATATATAAGTTAATTATTTTTTATTAATTAGATTAGTTAAATAGTTGAATTCTATTGTAACTAAATAAATATCATAGTTACTGAATAAATATCATAGTTACTGACTGAATATATTTTAAATGAATAATAATAATAATAATAATAATAATAATAATATTTAATTTAGTAATACAAATTATTAGAAATTTATTTGATATCTGACAGTTACAGCTTTAGATAAAAAGAAAAATATTAAGATTAAAAGTTATTCAAAGCTATTGATTTTAATTATAAAACTTTTAAATAATATATTAAATTTTTGATAAAAAGCAGTTAAAGAAGCTTTTATAATGAAAATAAAAAATTATTATTTAATTTAATATATTTTTTCTTTTTTATTTATCTCTTTGTTTATTATATTTTTATAAAAAGTCTTTTATAGTTCTTGTATAACTGCTTCACATTTGATTGTTAACTGCTTTTGATCTGAACTTTCATCACATATGCATTTATCATATATTGTATTTTTCTTCAACTCAGCTTTCATTTTCAAATGAACTTCTCAGCCTTCATCTGTCATTTAAAATATATTATAATAAGAGTAAAGAAAAAGTTTTTTAATTTTTAATATATTTAAAAAAAAATTTAAAAAAATATAATTTTTAAATTTTTTTTAACTTCTTTAATTCTTTTCATTATATAAAATAATTATATTATGATGTCTATTTTGATCTCTCTTACACCCTACCGCCACTGGGATTAACTACTATATCAGAGGTGTCTCAATCGTCCGGCGTCCCCATTTCTGTTCTCCTCTTCTTCCGCCCTTGATGGCCCCGTGCTTCGACTTTCCCCAATGCTGGTAAAGCCCGGATGGCGTGGAAAACATATCCTTCTGCACCCCCCCGGCCAGTCATGAGCGGATGTGTCCGACCTGGAAGCACTTGCCACAACCTCACACGTGACGTTTGAATCGTCGGTGCTAAGAGAAGCGTCGGGTCAACAGGAAAATCGGCTTCGTTGGTACCCGCAGAGGGCTTCTCGGCATCCCCCGTGTCTATTCCACATCCTTCATAAAATCCAGCACTGCGAGGATTTCCATTTTGTGATGCTGTGGATCCATGACATTGGTTTCGTTGCCAAGCCTCACGCTTTAGGTTCATATAAGCGGTTCGTCGCGCTGTGGAGTAAAAATCCGCGAGTCTCAATAACGGTTCAATGTGAGGGGCATATACTACTACAGGTGCTGAGCCGGATAATAGCGGTACCGCATGTTTCAATATGGATGTAGGATCCATCAAACTGGCAACTATCAGACCATCAAATCCTCCTGAACGGGTTTCGCCAACGACGTTGCGCACTCTGGCCCACCGCCGGCGCTTGCGATAGTACATACCCCGTTTATTGGGTTTCCAACTTAAGAGGGTTGCATCCGACACAACCGGAGGCTCATTGTTGTATACGGGGTCTGAATGCGGCTCAAGAAGCTGCAGCCAGGATAATGTCTTGAGGTTGGTGTGGAGGGGGTGTGAGGGAGATGGGTCGCTAGCATCAAACGAAAAATACTTTAGAAGAGACAGGTTAGGCTGAGCGTTGGCGTGGATCATTGTGAGGGTAGTGTTGGTGGAGGACATCCCTAGCGTAGGTTGTCGATGACGAGAAGAAGAAGACGACGAAGAGATGTCAGCCTGTCCAGGTGGACAGTTGACAAGCGGTACAGAGCCATCCGGACTTGAGAGCCCACATGGCTGGGATGCAGAACCTTTATATTTCCCGGCTTCAACTCGCGAATCAACTCCGGCTGCGAAGCTTCCTATTCCAGACTCAGGAGGGTAGAGGATTCCCATCCGTTCTGCCATGGCCGCCACAATCAGGCCTCCTGTGTCATCGACTACTAGCCAGCGACCAGCTGAACGCAGCTTGGTGGAGTCTGTCATTATAAATGCATCGCCGCCATTATGGACATTTGCCCAACATCCTATAAGCCCAACAATCTCGTCCCTTAGTTCCATGATTTTAGCAGCATCTTTCTGTTTTAACATCCAGTTGGTGAGAAGTGGGACATCCAGCGGGAGGACTGAAAATCGCTTGAGATACTTTTTCCTCTTCCTCAGCGTGTATTTGGCCAGCGAAAACTCTGTTTTTTGATCCAGGCCAGAATGAGATTCCAACAGCTTGTTGATGATTTCCCTGCCGGCCCCGGTTGTATCTCTCTTCAACACCTCAATCTCATCCATTGTCATTAACTGACTGGAGTTGTCGTCCACAGTCTCCCGATTGGTGCGCATGGAGCTAGGGTCAGTGTCATCGGGTTCTCGACTCCCCTCAAAATCCTCACTTTCTCTAGGCAGAGAGCCATCTGTTAATAGCGATTCGGTGTGTAGCTCTGCGGCTGGCACAATGCGGAGTGCATGGTTATCGTCTGTGTCTGGGTGATCAACGATCTCGAATGTGAGATGGTAAGGTCGCCCGATGATTTGGTTGGCCTGGAAAGAACCGTATTTCCCCAATGATATAATTCTAGACAATTGTGTTAGCCTATATAAAGAGGATGCAAAGGGGGAATTTAAGGGGTTTTAGGCAATAACAATGGCGGAGCTTGAGGATCAAGAAAAGCCAAAAACAAAATACCAATTGCTCACAAAGACTAGTTAAAACATACGTATTCGGGACTATCTGCTGGATCTTGATAGTATCTGAGGGCAGCCCCAAGCCAACATAGGCGTGGGGGAGGACCCTTGAATGCATATGAGGGAAACAAAAACCAACGAGAAGCCAGGGTCGACTCCCTAGCTGCTGGTGTATTGACTACTTGAAGGAGGCTGTTGCGAGCAAGTTTCTATCTTGGTTCCAGATTGCCTTTCCTGGTAGATGTGTGTGTGATTTGTGCGTGTAAACTTTAGTGAAGATGTCTATGACATCGCGCTGAATATATTTAGTTGTTGGCTGCGTGAAGAGTATTATTTTTCTTGTACTTCATTCGTAAATTACCGTACCTGTTGGAAGGGATATATACAGGACAGCTAAATAACCGGATATACGTATACCCGGAATGGAAATTAAAGGGATCGGATAATAAGATAATCCGACTGTCATGAACGTATTAAGTCAGCAAATATAGCAAACATGCCGTTTAGGGGAAACAACCTCATACTGTCGGAACCATATTTTTGAAATATCTCCACAACCACTGCTCTATTTTACTCATACTATGGCTCAATCTACTCATCAGCTCTCTAGGTACCGCCCAGTATCAAGAAGATATGGTGAGTGATCAAAATACCCCACAGGTGAGTATTCAGTCACTCAAACTAAGTAATCATACTACTCAAATCAAAGCAGACATCTAAGCTTTTAAAGAATATTATATAAACTCACTAGGTAAAACATGAAACTCAACCTGGCAGATGATTGAAGTCTTCATGAGCAGTGTCAGTGTCTATGTAAAGAAGACTGAAAAATAGTCAACTCAGATTGAACTGACTACAAACCTCTGAGCTATTGCAAAAGCTCAGAAGAAGATGAGAAAGAATATAGTTCAAATCAAGAACATACTAGCAGCTCTAGTTGTAAAGCCCACTGAGGCTAACAGTCTATTCTACACTCAAGTTCTGCAGAAACTATATCTTTTGAGAACATCAATACAACTCAGACTCTCAAGCAGACTATATGAGATTCTGATTAAAATAGAAAATACTGTTTTAGAAAATGAAATACAGACAGTCTCAGAAGAAACAATTAAAGAAAAGATCAATAAAATACTGAAAAAAAGTCAAGTTCAGAATCTGAAGAGTGTAAAAACTCTAGCTGTAAAGTGACACTCAAGTAAAGATATCACATTGTACATAAATAATCAGAACACAACAAGAAAAATGCAGATATACAAGAAGAAGTAAATAAAAGCTTTTGAAGACACAGCAGCTCTTTACATTATTATCTTTGAAATTCTAATTCATGAAGTTTCAACAGCAATAGATATCACAAACATCAAAAAAATGAAAGATAAAATACAGTGGAACAATCTAACATTGAAAACTACAAATATCAAGTATATAGAATAACTTAAAAAGAAACTTAGAGAAAAAAGAGTATTCATATTGATAGTGGAGTTTGATAATAGTGAGTATGCAAATAGTGCAATCATCAAGAGAATTGCATTAGAAGCTTAGATGTTTATCTATGAATATTATGATAGAATCTGCAAGCTGAGACAATACTTCAAATGTCAAAAGTATGAACATATTGAAACTCATTACAAGGCAAGTCAAACTTGTAAATACTGTGCAGAAAGTCACAGAACTGTAAGCTGTGATAAAAGAATAAAAAAAAAAATAGAGACAAAATACACAAACTGTGATAGAAAATACTCAACATGAAGTGTTCAATATGAGAAAAGAAAGACTGAACTAACCAGACTTAAGAAGAGAAAGAGAACAAAATCAAATACATATCAGAAAGTAGCAGTAAAATATCAACAAGATATCATAAATGAATTGTGAACTGATAGAAAAATAGATACTTTAAAGAAAGCCTCAGTCAGATCTATTCTTCAATCAAGAATGAGGACAGACTTGAGTCAAAAAAGAGGTCAATTCTTAAGAAAGAGTATGAGAGCTAGAATCTAGGAAGAGAGTGAAGAAGATGCAGTTAGACAGATACTATAGAAGCTGAGTAATAATCAGCAATTGACTGTTTTAGTGAAGAATTTCAATCTGAACAAACATCAGTGATGTGCAAATAAAAGAAGTCAATCATCAACACAGATCTCAGATATACATATGATCTTCAATGAATAATACAACTTTATCAATACTTCAATACAATGTCAATAAGTCTTAAGATCAAGTTATGACATCACTGCTTACTGATCAAGCAGCATTAACATATGATATTATATCTATTCAGAAACTATGATGAAACAAGTTTTGAAAGACTATACACTACTCAGTTAAAGATCAATTTGACCTGATCTATCAGAAAGATGAGAAAATTCAGATATGCTTTCTTATAAACAAGAGAATAGAAGAAGGCTGAACATACACATATTATACAATAAATATTGTGATCTTAAAACTGCAAGTGAATAAGAAAAGAGTGCTATGCATACACAATGTATACAACTTAATTACAAGAATACTTGAAAGGAATGATGCAATATTAGATCTTTGAAAGACTTTAGAGGAGAAACTTGAAGCTGAGCATGTAGTACTGAGAGACTTCAATCTTCATCACTCATTGTGAAGTGAATTCAAAGTCAGAAAAATATCAGAAAGAGCTGAAGTCATGCTTAAACTGATAGCAGACTATCAACTAGAACTGCTTATACCTGTTAAGACAAGGACATAGCAGGAAATAAGAGAATCAATTACATTGAACCTGGTTCTGAAAACACAATGAGTTCAAGAAAGAGTGATATACTGTGGACTAGCTGGATCAGAATTGACCCATGACTCAAATCATCTATTAGTGGCAATCACTTTAAACATGTCAATAGCTCAAAGTGAATCAAGAAAGAAGAGAGTTTGGTATAAAGTGAAAGAAAAGAAATTCAAGAAGAATGTCAGAAAGAATCTATCAGGAGTAAGTAAGTCACTAAGCAAGAAGAAGATCAATCAATATCTGAAAGCTATAGTCAAGACAATCACAACAGTTATTAAAACTCACTGTTCAGAGTTACACATTAATTTACAATCAATATCAAACTGGACACCTGAGATCAAGGAAGCTCAGATGAAAGCAAGATAACTGTAATATATTCATCAAGAAACCCAGTCAGAGAAAGTATAAAAAGACTATAGAAGAGTCAGAAATCACAAAGAAAGACTTATTCAGAAGCTCTTGAGAAGGAATTATAGAGAAAGAATACAACAAGCAATAGAATTCACAGAAGGCCTCTGGAAGCTGGTCAAATGAGCTAAAAACAGAGAGTTTAGAGCTACTCACACTCTACCTCTAAGATATGAAAAAGATTCTCCAGAATCTAAAGTGGAAAAAAAGTATGATTTACTCAGCAAAACCTTCTTTTCATTCTTAGACATTATCAATCTCAATGACATAGCTGGAACAGTATCCTCAGAACTAATTGAATGATCTGAAAACACACTCAGTGAGATACAGAAGATAATTCAAAAAATGACTGCAAAGAAAGTATCAGACTCAAATGAAATATGAAATCTGATTCTAAAGATTCTAATAAAAAAGCTGACTCAGTCTCTTACAATTCTATTCAATGCCTGCATGAAAATAGGAATACTGTTCAGACTATTTTCAAAGATCTATAACAGTAGTACTCATAAAATCAGGAAAAGAGAACTATACTCAGATCAAATTCTATCAATCAGTGGCTCTACTAAATATATTGAGAAAACTGCTGAAGAAGATTATTGTAAAAAGAATATTCTACTAAGTAGAGAAGTATGATCTTCTTCCAGAAATGCATCTGAGTAATAAAAAAGAAGTCTCAATTGAGTATGCTCTGCACTGACTGCTGAAGAAGATAGAAACAGCACAAAAGAGACAGATAATATTCAAAATAATATTCATACTATCTTTGAATGTTTTAGATATTTTTGACTATATCTCACATCTAAAACTTCTTCATAATCTTCAAAAATAAATAATTTCAATTGCTGTGATAAAATGAATAGAAAGCTTTCTGATATATTAGAGAATCTCTATCAAGCTCTCAGAAGACAGCTCAGAGAAAAAAAATGTACAATCAGAAATTTCACAGAAATTATCAATGTCATCAATACTCTATTTATTCTTTAATGCAGATCTAGTGAAGAACTGTCAGAATTCAGAAAGCAACACAGCAGGAATGAACTGAATAGATGATATAAATATTGTGATCTCAAGCAGTTCAGCTGAAGAGAACTGCAGAACACTTGAAAGAATTCATAAAAAGTGCAACAAATAGAAGACAATATATGATTCAAAATTTAATTCAATAAAATACAGTCTGATACATTTATCATACAGATTCAGAGAATTCAATAATAGCTATATAATGATCATAAGAGGATATATAATCACATTAAGCTGATGCTGTCAAATACTAGAACTCATATTTGACAACTAGCTCAGATGAAAAAATCATATTGAGAAAGTGAAAGTTAGAACAACTAAGACTCTGATAGCTCTCACTAGCCTAACAGAATCTACTTGAGATATAGAATATAAAAGTCTGAGAAATATTTACAAAACTGTTATTTTATCACAGATAATATTTGCAGCATCAACATGATATGCATCAGCTGAAAATACACTCAATGACAGATCAGTACTGCTCAGCAAGCTTGAGACTATGCAAAAAAAAATAGTCAAAATCATCACAGATACATTCAAAATAGTTTCTAGACCAGCACTGAATATTGAAACTCATCTTCTATCACTATAACTGCACTTGGAAAGAATTACAGCTGAAATATATCTAAGACTCAGAACAACCTCACAATGAAGCACTTTAGACAGAATTGAGAAAGAGGAAATCTGACAGAACTATAGAAATGACTGAGAATCTCTGTTAACAAAATGAACATCTCTGAAACAATATAAACACTGATGCTGAAAGACTCTTAGCAGAGAAGAGATTGATAATCTGAAAATCAGAAAGCTCTATATAGTTCCATTCTGATGAAAATTTTCATTAGAGACACATATAGAGAATAGAGAAGCAGCAAGAAAGAGTTATGATAAGAGATGACTGAAAGAACTAAGAGCACAAAACAAGCTGATAGTATATACAG